GAGGAAAGACTGATCATGACGGTGGGAAGGTTCACAGAGTGTGGATGAGAAAATCTCTCCTTGGTTGGTCGTATGACTGTGTTTCCTCATCCCAGTTTAATGCGGCTACAGGATGACATTTGGGGCTGTGGATTGTTTCCATCCTGGTCTGTGTTAGCAGTAGAGAGTACTGTAAGTTGTTAGAAGCTCGCTGTTCATATCGGCAGGTACAAGTGTGTACTCTGTGGGGGCTCGACGTATCTTCTTCATGACTTCAGTAAGCGGGCTTCACGGTCTCCTTTTTGGTTGGCGGAAGACATACGTTTTGTTCTTTTTTGTGCTGCCTGCACTTCTGTAAAACACCAACGACACAGTATACCAGTGTGCACTTCGCTTACAGGAATTGTTTGATCATGTACAGGTGTGAATGTGATATCACAGAAACGGTAGTGTGAGACATCAAGTGCACATTAGGGCATGCTCAGTCAGCAATGGAGAATTGAACAGTTAGAGTCATCATGCATGATGCAGTGTTGAGTCACTGTGAGCTATCTCAAGGCATAGTATACGCAAGGCAGGGCACTCGTGGTCTATCAGTTTATAGTCTTCCATCAACACTAAGATGGTGGATCAGAAGGAGGAGGCCTGTTATCACAGTGACAGGGACTCATACTGCACAGCCCTGTGTTATTCCCGCAGAGACTTACAACTTTACACTAACACATAGTTTGGTTACATCTTCGCTCCTGTTCCTGGTCTGAATAGCTTGCTGGTTTGTATGTAGTTCATGGATTGGACATTTGTAGCTGACGTGTGTTCGCTGTTATTACAGCCTGCTTGCGCAGATGTCAACTTTGTCTCCTGAGCAGATAAAAAGCTGCTGATTAGTATTGTGAAGCTGCTGGCAGCTTCCTTTAACATCTTTTATCAGAAACGATTGCAGTGTACAACTCTGAGGACGAATTTTGAGACAAATGTGACTCTTTGCTTCTTGATTCACAGTGTTTCTTCTCTTCAAATGTAAAGTGACGGTGTTCCAGTATCTGTTGTGTCAAATACATAAGATGGTGAGTGAGACCTGTGGGAGACGCTATTAAGTAATCCATGCGGTGAATGGTATTGAAATGACTTATGTGATAATTGAATAGAACAGACCAAGATAGTGTAGAATGTTGAGGTAAATGTTGATTCTAACTGCTTGAGTATTGGGCTTTCGAGGTAAAATTTCAATGTTTGAAAATGATATAAGGTGCTGTGATGTTCAGAGTTTTATATAGTTATGCTTAGTGTGTTTAAGTTCATGGAGTTTTAGCTGGCGGTAATCAAACACTGATTGCGTGTAAGGAGTTTGCATGGAACTAGCTGATATCCCACACATCAATGACAAAACAACTGGAATGAGTGCCTTCCACAAACACAAGCTGCCATATGAAAAACATCTGAGCACTGAGGCTTAACTCGACGGCTTTTAATCTTCAATAACTCTGTTGGGTCATCTAGGCCAAAATCAGGCTACTTCCTAGTTAGGTTTTCACGCCGGCAGTACGATCTTGACAAAAAACATGGTAGAGCTAAACACCTAAATACACAGTGAAGCATTAACTAATAAAACGCTCTGATAGATTAACGACAGCACTCATTATATTTTCAACATTGAAATTTGGGAAAACTCAAATTGTAAGAATTCAACTAACAACGTGGAGTATGCATCAAAGATTTCAACACTCAAGCTATGATTTAAACTTCCACAGTTCACTGACCCACCATACTTTTGTATTGACCAACATGATTACTCAACCGTCACTTTTTACATTGAGAGAGAAACACGTGAAAAAAAAGAGTCCTATGTGCTCAAATCTTCATCTCAGTTTACCTTGTAATCTTTCTGATAAGATTGTTAAGGAGCTGCAGCAGCTTCACAACAATCAGCAGTTTTAATCTGCTCAGGACAAAAAGTAGAATCTGCAGCAGCTGTAAAACGGAACACGTCAGCTGAAATGTCCAATCATGACCTACAATAACAACACAAGTTAGACCAAGGAAAGGAGAGAGGTACAAAATGTGTTTAGTGTTAAAGTTGTTCAGTTGGGGGAATAACACAGGGCTGTTGAATGAGCCCTGTCAACTGTGATTCAGGCTGCCTCCTTCTGCATCACCATACTTAGTGTGTGAATGAGACTAAACTGAGAGGACCACAGCCTGCCTTTTATACTTGCTTGTTAGCTCACAGTACTCAACACTGCAGGACATGAGATGCCTGACTGTTTCGATACTTTCAGTGCGTGCTGGCTGCTATGTGCCTTGGTATGAACACTACAGTTTCTGTGAGTAGCAATCCAACACACTGACATGATTCTGTAACGCAACACTGATTACTGTGTTGTTGGTAAGTTTTACAGAATTGCAGAAGACACAAAAAGAGGAAAGAGCCGTGCTGAACAAATAAGGAGACGTTGACCGCTATGAGAGGTAGAACAGTGAACACTTGAGCTAGTCGATATACACAGCATTCACCATCTAGACAATCTCTACGTTAACAAACAGGATTGGAGAGACCACAGCCCCAAAGTGTTCATCCTGAGCACGCGTATTAAAATGGATGGAAGGAAACAGCAGGACGACGACGCACAAAAGGAGAGATTTTCCAATCCCTCTTGAATTCACCTACGTCAGATCAGTTCCTCTGACAGATCCAGAGCTTCAAGGTTGTCTGACTCTGCTGTGTACTGACTTCGTGCTCTGAGGCGCCACTAGCTAGACAGGGAAACGACCAAAAACTCTGTTTTACAAAAACCTTTGGAGCAAGACAACAACAATAGCTCCACAACATGCCACACTAGAGGGGTGTGTAACAGCTGATGTGAGAAAATGTCACTGTTAGTTTTGTAGAGTAGAGACACGGTTGTTGTCGTGATTGGACTGGCAAAGAATACAAAACAGTCTGACACAGAAATATCGTTTACTAATGTAAAGCCAGAATGATAATAAAGACTAAGTTAAATCTCACTGGGAGGAAGGAGCAGAGAGGTGATTTACTGGGCCCCGCCCCACTTTAGTCCATCCTCAGCCAATGAGATTCTTTGTGGTGGTCCCGAGCAGAAAATATTTTGAGGAACCTTGAAAAGCAACAATCAGGCTTGATGTTTGCAGGAGCCAAGGCGGACATGAGTGGACTAGACATGGAGGAGGCTGGTTTTAAAAGTTTGCTTGCATCTCAATGCAGTGTTAATGTAGAATACAGTAGATGTTTCTTAGATTTTGGTTCCTGCTTGTCTGCATATGGCCTTTCAGACTCCTTGCGCAAGAGGAGCGATGTTTGCTTTTACTGTCTTTTTTGTATTTCTCATCTTCACTAGTCATAGGGTGAGGTTTGTGTGAATCAACAAAAATGCAGTGTTTGCTCAGTTTTGATACATGCTTGTATCAACATAGATATTTTGTGACTCCATTTACAAATATGCAATTATCACAAGGTTGGAAAGTTTCATCAAGATAAATCTGATTATGATGTCATGAAGATAGCCTGATCAACAAAATCGATAGCCTTTATGAGTGAAATGATACTTGTGCAAGTTTATGAGCTGGATTTGTGTTTCACACAGAGTGATACCATCTGTACATGAGACATTTTTGCCACAGGGGGGGAAAGGGGGGGGAGGGGGTGGGATGGGGGGGGGGGGGGGGGGAGGGGGGGGGTGGAGAATTTGTGGGGGTTGGGGGTTAAGAGGGGGGGGGGGGGGGGGGGGGGGGGGGGGGGGGAGGGGCGGGGGGGGGGGGGGATGTCTATCTCCTCTCAGGTCCTCATGCGTACAATGTTAGTCTTAATGCTTCATGTCTCTCTTACTTTTTCCAGACTAGATAGCTGGAGAACACAATCTCTCGCTGTAAGAGATGAGTCAGTGGAAGAAGAAGGTAAGAAAATCTGTCACACTCTCATGTCAATCATCAGACACAGAGAACCTTATGATTTTCCTTTACTGGTACAGACATGATTTGACCTTCAGAGCACCTCAGTTTTGTACTCTATAAAGGAGAGAGGGAACAGCGAGTGGTCAACAACATATTCCTGATGGTCGATATCAATCCGAAACAACAAGCACATCAACTGAACTGACCATCAGCAGACTAACCCTGAACGACACAGCTCTCTACTACTGTGCTCTAGAAACACAGTGATACAAAGTGTAGAAGAGGCTGTACAAAAACCTGAACACAGATATCTGACTCCTCTTCAAAGAGGAGGGAAGTGGTTTTCAAACCACAGCTTCATATCACATGGATTCTGCTACTTCCTGTTTTATCAGAGTCACTGTGGTTACAGCTCTAATCAGACAGAACCTAGGTGGGAGGAATTCACATGAGAGCTTGATCCACATCAATGACAAACCAACTGGATGATGCTTCAAACACAAGATCCATGAAAACAAATGGACACTGGACTTATCCCTTAATCTTCATACTCTGTGGGTCATTAGGCCCAATAATACACTGCGTTCGCTGCTTATTGTTCACATCCTTGACAACATGTAGAGCAAACACAAATACTACCACTGAAGCATTAACTAATAAAACTCTGAAATCAACAGCATTTTATATTTTCAAACATTGAAATTTAAGGAAAATAAGTAGAATAACTAACAACTGGAGTTTCATCAAGTTTCAACATCACATGATTAAACTTCCACATTCACTCCACCATCTTGTATTTGACAACAGATACTGAACCGTCATTTACATTGAAGGAGAAACACTGTGAAAAGAGCAAGAGTCACATGTTGCTCAAATATTCATCCTCAGTTTACCTGTAATCTTTCTGATAAAGATGTTAAAGGAGCTGCAGCAGCTTCACAAAACAATCAGCAGCTTTTATCTGCTCAGGAACAAAGTGAATCTGCAGCAGCTGTAAAACAGGAAACACGTCAGCTGAAATGTCCAATCATGACTACATACAACACAAGTTAGACCAGGAAAGGAGAGAGGTACAAACATGTGTTTAGTGTAAAGTTGTCAGTTGGGGGAATAACACAGGGCTGTGAATGAGCCCTGTCACTGTGATCAGGCTCCTCCTTCTGATCCACCATCTTAGTGTTGATGAAGACTAAACTGAGAGACCACAGCCTGCTTTATACTTGCTGTAGCTCACAGTGACTCAACACTGCAGACATGATGCCTCTGTTCATCTCAGTGCTGCTGGCTGCTATGTGCCTTGGTATGAACACTTAAGTTTCTGTGATATCAATCCAACACTGACATGATTCTGTAACAGCACACTGATACTGTTTGTTGGTGTTTTACAGAATGCAGAGCACAAAAAGAAAACGTGCTGCAACCAAAAGGAGACGTGACCGCTACTGAAGGAGAAGCAGTAACACTTGACTGTCGATATAACAGCAGTTCAACAACTCCATATCTCTACTGGTACAAACAGGGATGGACCACAACCCAAATTCATCCTGAGCCGCATTAAACTGGATGAAGGAAACACAGCAGACGACCACAAGGAGAGATTTTCATCCACTCTGAATTCCACCGTCAGATCAGTTCCTCTGAAGATCCAGAAGCTTCAGGTGTCTGACTCTGCTGTGTACTACTGTGCTTGCAGCCCACAGTGACAGGAAACACAAAACTCTGTACAAAAACCTTTGGAGCAAAGACAACCACAATACTCCACAACATCCACTAGAGGGAGTCACACACTGTTACACTTCAATGGTTTCTCTTCAAACTCAGAATACAAAGTTTTGTTTTCACTCAACACAAACTCTGATAATATTGACGTGTGTGGGATGTTATAACTGAATGTAACAATTTCACTCTGACGTCTAATGAAGCTGAAGTTTAAACTGTGTAGGGAAGATATATTTTTGTGAGATTTTTTTTTAAAATACTGACATTGAAATAAATATTTGAGTAAACTTTGAAATATTTAAAAAATCAAGTAATCATATAGAGGTTGTGTCATTCTGATATTATGTGTTACTTTCATATTTTAATAGATTTTGATTAGAATGGATTTTATTCTTGTCCATTATAAAATAAAAATTTTGTGTTAATTTTCTCAAGGTTGTGATTTTTTGTGGTGTACACATGGTTCAATCTTAGTCTTCTCATTTTCCACTGACATGATTCCTTTGCATCAAATTACTTTCATATTAATCAAGTTTCCATTGTTTTCACTGACAATATGTGATTATATATTATATTAAAGTCCAGTAATTATGGCATCAGGTTTTTACATGGTACATGCTGGTGTTTCAACACCTTTCCTACAACTGACTGTCTACAAAATAGATCCTTATATTTTCCCCTAAAATTCTGGGAACAGATGAAATCAAATCTTTTTAAATTGTTGCTTTTTTTAGAACAACACTCACACTCTGGATATAAATATTGGAAACACCATTTTTTTCATTGTCCCCTGACTTCAGTTGGAACAGTCTCCACTTTAGAAGTAAGATTTATGTTGTTCTTCTGTTTGTAAATCCTGAAAACGTGATCCACCATTCAATTTACCAGCAGCTAACTTTTTCTAACCCCGGCTATAAAAAAGAATCACCAAAGCAAATGAAAAAAACAATCTGGCCAATCTGTTCACCAGTGAGAGGCTGGGTATCAAGAAACGGTTTCTGTTCAGAACAGGTTCTGAATTTCTAAGAACGTGTGGAATTCGTTAAGATGCATGTATTTCTAACTGCTTTTAAATTCCAAAAGCATTTGCATTATTTGAGTCGTACTCGCTGAAGTACGTAGTCTGATAAGAGGTCAACAAATGCAACACTATTGCCAGAGTGTCATGTGAAAGAAAGGTAAACTACTTAACCTTTATAATTAAAGCATGTAAGGAGGTGCAGGTTGACGGCAACGTTGGTTACCTCAAACTAACCACATGAAGTATTTAAAAGGTGGATGGTTTCAATTTATTTTTTTCCTTTTAAAAAGATTATACGATGTTATACGATGTTATACGATGTTATACGATGTTATATTGTGTTATACGAGTAGCGTGGCTGCATTGAAGAAATAGCACAGTGCCTGTGTGAGAGCAGAGAGGTGTTTGCCATGGGAGCAACTGAATTATTGTCTTTTCATGCCATATCAATCATGTGTTTTTACTGCAAGTAAATGAATCAAATTTCAATAAACTTACACAGAGGAAGACCTTGTTCGTGCAAGTGCTGAAACGTTCCAATTAAAGAGGGAATCAGGACTACTGTACGAAGACAAAGATTTTAGGAACCAGTTTTCCAGTCTCACCTCAACAGCCGACCAGGACGACAAGGATAATGATCACCCCTGACTAGATGAATCAGGACTGTCCTCTATAATGACTTCACTAAGTAAATACTGATTATGTGTTGTCAGATTGATGAAGATATTTGCTGTGTGTTGAACCCTCAGCATCAGTTTATACATCTTCATTAAAATACATGCTTGCTCAAAGGTTTGCCCTGTTACCACTGTTTCATTTCCAATGCTGATCGCAGAACTCTGATCCAGCCAATCTGATACCAAACCTTTGATAAAGAAGCAGGGTATTACTCTACACTATTTCCTGCCCTTTACAGAAGTCTTTGTGTATTATAAAAAGGTTTAAAACACACTCATTATGTGTGTTATCTTGTTCAGTGTTAAATTTTAAGAATTACATGGGAACATAATTGTTGCTGACCAACAGTCAAATGGGAGGTTCAGGTTTTCTGTGCTGTATAGTGTGGTCCACCTTTTTAAAAAGACACATATCCACAGAACTTTAGCATGCCAACATCCCAGCAATGTAGAATCATGTTACTGCATCCAGTGGTTCAGAACACCAACACTTTAGTTGCATAAAACATATTAAATGGGTTGTTGACGTACTGTATACTTCCCATGTCCTCTTACTTGTAAACTGAATAATATGAAATAACATTTGACAAAACAATGACAAGATAATGTTTGATATTGATGGTCATTTGGTTTGACATATGTTACATGCAAGAAGTCCATGACAGATACAGATGGTAGACACATTAATCAGGAAACTCTGCATGTTTCACCCCTGTACTATCTAATGGCAGCTCTGTTATTCCTTCATTCTGACACATTTCTCTCCTGAAGGGAGTGGGCTGCTCCAGCATGACGATGTTTCCATCTACAGCAATGGATCAGATTGATAACTGTTTCATTATGAGATACTGGGGTCAAGCATTCAGGTTTAGCTTTTAATTCCTCACCTGCTTGTATTATAGTGCTGATTAATACAAAAACCCTGCTTGTGTTGAAACTGAATTGTATTGGAACATCATTCTGTTGATATGCTTAAATTAAACTAAAAATACATATGCTTTTTGATTCTTTGTTTTCAACATGGAGGACGAACGTGAAGACCACACAGACCAAACCACGACGGTGCTTGTGATCCAACCTCCCACAGCCGAGGAGGAACCAGCCGACGTGTCTATAGACAGAAGCTCAAGTACACCTTTGAAGTATTCTAGAAACTTTTTTGGAGCTTGACGGAGCAAAGCTGCTTGAGAGGGTCCACGGCCTCAAAAGGAAACTAATGGAGTGACACAAACTGACTGTTTCCTGATTCTTCCCGTAAGACTTTTTGGAACTGGACCAAAGGACTACAGAGACTGGACACATGAACCTCAGAGCAGAGTCCCAATGACATTTCTCCATTCAAAAAATGCATACTACTTTGGAATCACCGTTTATCAGATGGGACGGACTAATCGGTTGAGTGTGGAGTGCACTCACTATGTTTTTGACTGTTTTAATGCTCTTTTGCTTTTGTCTTTTACTTTTAAGTTATAGTGGATGCTTTCCTTACTATTGGTTGTGAATTTGGCTCCAGTCAGGTTTGAATGGGATCTGATGTTATGGCTGAGTTTGTGTTTGTTTTCATATTCTAATGTTATTTCTTGTTCCTTACATGTACCGTGAACCTGGTTAGCCTAATGGTGTACTGGGCCTTTATTTATATACATACATATAACAGTGTTTGTGTTTGACACAAAAGACAAAACCTCAAATCCACATTTAATGTATTGAAGAAACTTTTATTTCTGTTGAATATGCAGAGTGAGGAGGGTGTTTGTATCTTTTATGTTTGTATTTTTAGGATCTGTTGATTAAAAAAGTAATTGACCAATATCGTCTCCACTGTCTGACAATAAGTTTTCAAGCTAACCTTCTGTGAATAAGTAACGTTTAATTAGTCATATTGGTTATTCATTACTCATAAAAATTAAGTACATTAACAGTTGCCTACTAACAAAGAAGAGTTGATATTACTCACTTTTTATAAGTTATTAGCTATTTAATGTATTGAAATTATTAAGGTAAATTTGACCTGATTTCTTTTAGTTTGTCATAGCTGTTCATTTACACTTTACTCAAAACATGGGGTGAAATCTACTCAAGCAAAGCGAGTGCAAATTGTTAACTCACATTTATTTAGTAGATTGTATTGGTTTGTTTTTACAGTGTATGGAGAGAGATACCTGTTATAACATGATTAAATGTTTCAATACATAATTTACATTCAATTTCCGCATGATCTCACTATACCTGTTAGATAGAGACAAAACAGTAGAGACAGTACATAATAGTCCAATGACAGCATGTTGAATAAAGGTAATGTTGATAGTTTGTGTATTGAACTGTGCTGAATATGGAAGTTCCTTCTCTTTCTATAGTTCAGTAACAGCTCAGCTCCTCCTGAATCTCTCCGTCTCCTCTTAGAATCTGTATTTTCTCTTCTCTCTGTGACACTTTGAGAAAGTGTTTTTGTCCAATATTATATTGAGAATATGAGCATTATCTTTAACATAAAACAACAATTCAACAAGACTTTATTTCACCTGCTTCACAGAATTTAAGGGAAAATAAAAGGATCTCAGCTCTAAACTCAGTCAGTTATAGGAAGGTGTTGAACACCAACATGTAACATGTAATAATCATAATTTCTGCACTTTAATATGATATACATGATCTCATATTGTCAATGCAACAATGGAAACTGATGATGTGTTGAAAATAATTTTTCAAATGAATCATGTCCATAGAATGAAAGGACCTAGATTAAACCCTGTGGTACACCACAATAAATGACAACCTCAGAAAATAACAGAGAAATTTCTTTGTAGACAAGAATAAAATCTATTCAGACCAAAGTCTGTGAAATTATAAATGTAACAGAATATCTGATGACAAAACCTCTATATGATGACTTTGTTTTTTAATATATTTTATATTTTTACTCAAATTTATTTTCTTATTCCTGAAATTGTTTAACATTTCATACATTGATAAATCACAGTGTACCTCAAAGGAATACTCCAAGTGCAAAATTCACTCTTTGGACATTCACTGAGGAACACATCCAACATGTACTGAAACATGCTGTGTTTCTGTGAAGTGATCAATGATCATTATGTGTGTTTGATGATTTGTCCTCTGGACCAAACTGTCAGGTTTGTCAAGTAGTTTTCAGCTTTAAGAATGAAGCAGCAGTGAACATGAAGGACAGCCTCAGAGGATGTGTCTGTTCTTATTTGTATTATTTCTGCTCATCCTATGAGTTATAATCCCACACCTCATTATCATCAGTTTCATTGTTTTATGA